TCCCTATTACCCAAAGAGGTGGTAAGATGGCTAGGTATTTGGTTTGATAGGAAACTAAACTTTAAGGTTCATGTAGAAAAGAGACTTCAACTAGCTCATGGGGCTCTGCAAAGAGTAATACAGCTGGCTTCAAATAGCAAAGGCTTACCTTTTCATGCTTTGAGGCAACTTTACCTCAGCTGTGTCTTGCCTGTGCTAGACTATGGCTCAGTACTTTGGTTTCAAAAAAGAGGGACAGGAGGAATGACTGCCAAATACCAAAGGCTCCAGAACCAGGCGCTGAAAATGATCAACGGGACTTATCATAACAGCCCAATCAAAGCCCTAGAAGTAGAAGCAGCCATCCTCCCTACCAAAGTTCGACAACAGAAACAGGCCACTAACTATGCACTTCGACTATTGAGACTACAGCCTTCCCATCCAGTGCAAGCAAAATTAATTACTCCAATCATTGATGAGCTATCTCTGGTTGCAGAGCAGGATCTTGACATCTTTAATTATCTGAACAATGGATCAAGTCAATTAACTGAGTTAGGCTGCATGCTACGGCCTTTTACTCACCATAAGAAGCTCGAAAAAATTGATGCAATCTGGGCACCTCCATGGCTACAGGCTAATCTTTCCATCACTATCTCACCAAAGCCAAAAGAAATGAAAGCAGTAGAACACAAACTGTTGGAATGTATATCATTTACTAGGCGCTTAGTGCAGTGCATCTCTCTGTTGCTGAGTCATTGTCTTGATGACTCAGCCAACACCGCAAACTGGACGTTTGCTGTATTCATAGATAGAAACAATAACAATAAGAATCAATACCTCACTTTTGTACCTTTTGTTTTGCATTGAACAAACCTTACGTATACGTAAAATAAGGCCAATTGACACAAACAAATAATAAAAAATTTATCACCAACAACAACTATTGTCTACACTGATGGATCCTTAACCAAGGGAAATGGCAGCAGCATTGGACCTGTTGTATATCTTCCAGTCACAAGGGAGATGAAATGTTGCTCCTTCAATCTTGGGGATACTATAGGTATTACAGACGCAGAAACATTCTGTATCCTCAAAGCAATTAGATATTTAAAGATCATGATACCACAAGGCATATATCATATATTCAGTGACAGCCAAGCTAGTCTCATGAGGATCAAGAACAAAGAAAATCATCTTTCACACCAAATCAGACAAGAAGCAGAGCATTGTACAATACAAATCTCCTGGTGCCCTGGACATGTTGGAATAGTAGGCAATGAGCTTGCTGACAATTTGGCTAAAGGAGCCAGCAAAAAGAAGGTGCTGAAAAGAAACCATCTTACTTCACATTTATTTCTAAATCAAAGGGCTAAGGAGCTGCTTTTACAAGCTTGGATCCAAGATTGGAACTCAGAATTCTTCCATGAAGAAGAAGGAAGAAAAAGCTCTAGACTTGGCAAATTTTAGAGGACACAGGCCCAAATGACAACACCAATATTTTCTACTCATCCACTAAATTTTCAAGGTCATAGTAGAGTAGTAGAATCTTCATATTTGCAGGTGAGGACTGGCATTGGTAATGTGAAGTCTTATTTACACAAAATTGGAAAGACAAAAGATTGTATCTGCAATTCCTGCAATAGGGGAAAACAAACCATGCAACACTTAATTCTCCATTGTCAGACATTTGAAAAGGAAAGAAAAGACACATTCAAAAATATAAAGCCCCTTAATCTTCCAATAATTTTGAGAACAAAAAGAGGAAAAGAAGCATTACTTGAATATTTGAAAACTTCTAGGTGCATAATTTTGCACAAAGGGGATTGATTAGGACAAGAAATAGTGGAAATGAGGATGGAAAAATACTAAGGAGCTATATAAGTATAAGTAGCATAGGTGGATTATTGTTATATAAATTGTCATAGCTAGCCAGCTTAATACAAAATGAATAAAAAAAAAAGATCCGAAGTATAGTAAAGAGTGGAAATCAGCTATTAAGCAAGAAATAATCAGCCTAGGAGACAATGGCACTTGGAAGGAAACCATTCCACCACCTGATGCAAACATGGTTTCTACAAAATATGTCTTCACTATCAAACTGAACACGGATGGGTCTATCAAGAGATTTAAGGCAAGATTAGTGGCCCGTGGATTCAGCCAGATTCAAGGTAAGGATTAAACAGAAACTTTTGCCCCGACTGTTCGAATGAACACTCTATGCATATTTCTCGCCAGGGTGGGAAGAGAAAATTTAGAGTGCAACCACTATGACATTAAAAACGCATTCACAGATTCTCATCTAAAAGAAAAAATATATCTATCCCCACCTAAGGGCGTCCCTGTTAAAAAGGGCCATGCGCTACAATCATTGCGCAGCTTATATGGACTCAAACAAGCTGCAAGAGACTGGAATGTGCTCTGCAAAACCCATCTAGTGTTGGAATGGAAGTTGTATAGAGAAGCGTAAGCTGTTAGGCTTGTACTTAATATCACCTAGTGAAGCGAGTTGGGAGATTGAAGAGTCTGAAAACTATGGTGGAGAGTTGTTGATTAAACCCACTTAGTATCAGAGCGCAATTTAAACTAATTACTACATCTAAGTGAAGGACACAATTCACTTGTTTATGCTAAATAATTGGGAGGCTGGTCAATGTATGAGTTGTCATGAATGTGGCTAGTAATAATAGAACCTTATTACGTTCCGTATTAATGCGCCTCTTCATTGCCATGTAGCGCCAATTTCAACAGTCGGGACAGGATGTGATCGGAACGGGACGAGGGCGAGACAAGACGGAGGCAGAGGCGGAGTCGGGACGGATGTAGTTGGGACAGAATGTGATCGGAATAGGATGTGATCTGAACGGGACAAAGGCGAGACAAGACAGAGGTGGAACGGGACAGAGTCGGGGTATAAGGTAAATCTTATAATAATCAGATCAAACTAAAGTCTAGAATAATTACAAGACAAAAAGCTACAGAACAAATCCATTCCTAGACCTTCCTTAAGTACTCAAGAGCGGCTACTATAATCAGGGGTGTGGTAGTCTACAGCTATAATACAGCAACTGATTGCTTATGTTGATTAGTAACTGTTGCTATCATAACATTGTAACCATTGCAACGCATTGACAATGTTACTAGGGAAGTTCCTGACTTGGTTGACTAGACTAAGCGCAGCATCTCAGCATTAGCCCATGGCACAATGGTAGTAACAAGCAGGCCGTTTTCCTCGTGGGAAAGCCGGTCTGTGACATGTTGCTGCCTTAATTAAAACAACAAATTCTTATAATTACCTATTAGCTGTAGCTAGAGTTCTCTTTTCTCCTCATATAGTTTCATAAATTGATTTATTCATTACCAACTCGGCTTCTGTCACACTAGTGACTTGTTGTTAGGCACAATATTTTATAACCAGCCACCTATTTCCAGGTGTCACTAAGTTGTAGTAACATTCAGCTGCCTGATTAGCAGTGCTACTTTGATAAGCTCCATCTCCTCTCCATACAGTCTTGTTGTAAGAACTCTCAATATTTAGCTTAGGTCTACTCCTAATCTCAAACAATGGTCAAACCGTTACAAAAATCAAGCTACCCAAAAAATGGAGAAAATATATACAGATAATTAACAGGAGGAGAAATCTTGCCTACTGGGCGCAAATATGCGGGGAATACCAAATTAAAAGCATGGGCAGAGATAGGGATGCCCTTTTTTAAAAAAAAACTCATTTAATGTGTATTCAGCTGTTATGAATTCGTTGTAGATAATTTGAATAGGGTGGCGCACGGGCTATTTCGTGAATTTGGTTGGAGCTAGGCAAATGGAGCGTAGATTATGTTGGTTGGAAATTTAGAATTGGCTCCTTAGTTCTAACAATTTTGTTACATGAGACATGACCTTGTACCCTTGAGTACTCAGAATTTAATAAAGCTACTGTTCAACTATTCGTGATTAATCCGCTACCTTTTAACCGTCGCCTCGCCGAAACTGACTCGACCTCTGTAGCTTAACAGCTTCGTAATTCAGCCCACAAGTAAGTTCATATCATCAGCTTTCTAGCTATGACACATGACTGGTGCTAAAATCCTGAATATTTGTGAGAGAATTGATTAGATACCCCATAACTACTACCATTCCTGTTTGGATCCATAGTAGCCTATTGTATGTAGAGTTGTTAGAAATTGTAGAAACTATGTGTAAAGCGACATTCTTGATTAAATTGTCATTATCATCCAAGTTAAGTTCTGTCATGAATGATTCAAAATCATTGAAATCATGTTCATCTTCAGTTCCTTCATTGCTTAGAATGTACTGTCGGGCATTATTATTGAATCTTTGACCAAATTTCTGCAAATACTTGCGCTTTGTATCAGCACGCTCTGCCTTGGTATGTTTAGTTGACCAGCATTCTGGCTTCTTGCATACAAAATAGGTTTTGGGGTGTTGCTGACAAAGATAATTTTGACTTTGGAGGTGTGGGTTTGTACTTTGCTGGTATTGCTGGGCGCGGCCAAGCTGGCTATTTCTGCGGCCAAAGCGAGGGTTTTTGCTGCGACCACAATTGCTGTGATAGGTGCAATCTGTGAAGAAAACATCAATATCAACTTCATCTACAAACTGATTTCCCGGGTCGAACAGAGAAAAAGTATTGATTTGATTGGTAAATACTTCTTGCTGCGGATGGGAATTGGGATGCGCTGCTTGCCAGATATTGACAGCACCCTTTAGTTCACTGATGAGACCGGGCAATGTGGGAGAAGGTTTTATGCATGTAAACTGGCATGCCTCGATGGGAGCGCATGCAAGAATTAGCGTCTGATGAAGGAGTGAGTCCGTTCTGAATGGAGCAGTGTCAGGATTGCCTTCTATATAATCTATATATGTGGAGATAACCAACATCTAGTGTTCTATGATTCTGGTCTGGCCTTTTGGCCGAGCGGTTATGCACCTATCTCATGCACAATGTAGGATGGCGCCCTCTAATCTGAATACCACCTCTCTGACCCATATCTCCGCCCTGCTGTCTACATGCTGCTCTGACAAGCAGCTAGGCCGAGTTGCGGTTGCTGAAGTTTGTCAATGAGAAGATCCATGCAATCTTTGAGAGACTTGGTCGGATTATTTGAGATGACCTTTTTAAGCAATGTACTATTGAATTTAGTTAATCTAGCACGCTTCCACTCATCTGTTTCAATATAAAATCGAATTATGTTGCATAGTTGAACAAATGTTGAGACAATTACTTGATTTGTTGTGATGGTAACATAAAATTGGAACGCTGTGCCTTTCAGCATTTGTGGAAATGCCTTTGCCTTTATTTCGTTGTTTGAAATGTTCAATTGCAAGCAATACATGTTGAAGATATTTAACTTATATTCAAAACAGTTGGTATTGCCTCCATACTTCTGATCATTTGAAGAATAAAGTTTGGCGATATTCATGCAGACTTGTGTTGTTGAATCACGTTCAGAACGAGTTGACAAACTTGTGTTGTGTTGTTCAGATTGTTCCTTATTGCCAGAGTATGGTTTCCAATTGTTACGAGGTTTTTGAAGTAGGGTATGCGATAGCAAACCATTGTGGTTCTGAACAGCAATAGCTTCCTCTCTCGTCCATTCATGGGGTTCAGATTCACCGAGGCAAGCAACAAGAGCCTTGTTCATATTAGTGCTGCGAGAAACATCAACCCAAACACCGCAGCGGCGGAGTTCATCACGGAGAGAGGATACTCGCACGGCATTTACACCTTGAAAGTGCTCAAGATTCCAACTATCAAAGTGGATGCGGAACACATCCCACATGTCATAGTTTCTAAGAGGACTTGAGATATATTTGTTAAGACAATATTTCAACCAAGAGTCTTGTTCGGCTTTTGTTGCAATTTGACTAATTGAAGTCTCTTGTATCCCAATTTTCCTCTTTAGCATCAGCCGTTATTCCGGTAATTTTATTATTTTGAATGGAAATGGACCTGTTTTAACACGGCCGGGAAGAGGTAATTAAAGATTGATGGGTAGAGAGGTAGAAGTAAATATATCCGGAGAGTTTGAATATAGAGATGATGAGGTGGGAGGTATGTCAATTTAAAGAGGTTGAAGATTTTCGGGTATTTGAAGTGCTTGTGAGGTGAGAAGTAGGTTAGAGGTGAGGTTCTGATGTTTTTGGGTGTTTTCTGGTCTTGTGCGTGATGGACACGAATCCTGGGCCAAATGTGGGGGTTCAGTGAGAATTCTTCGAGATCTTACTCGATTATTTTGAGCAGTTCTGGGCTGAGTATGTTGGTTCAGGGAGAATTCGTTTGAAATAGCCTTATAGATATTGTTAGCAGAAGAGAATACGGCCTGGGCTGAATGTGGAGGTCCAGGGAGGTCTATTCTGAGCTTCTCTCATCGAAATGGTACCGCCTCTTGATCTGTGATATCACTTATTGATGTTGGTAGCACTCGGTGGCTACGGTTTCTAGCATATGCTTGAATACTGGTGTGAAATGGTTGTGTGTTCATTCTCTCTAATCTATCTATATGATGGATCCATATCAGTATTCACGCAGGTGCCCGTGCACGCCACGCTTAACCTTGATGCCTAAGGTATTTACATACCATAGGCTACTACAGATCCAAACAGTTCTCCTCCGACTAACATACATTTACACTAATCCGAATTCTCACAGTAGCAAGACCGCGGATCTCCAACATGTCTCTGGGGCCTGCTAAATCATCGCGACCTATTCGCCTTCAAAGAACCATTAATAGAGCAAATACCAGGCTGGAAAAGCGCTCAGCAAAAAAGAACATACCATTGAGCTCAATAGACGGGCGGAAAATGGAGCTGGGAATGACCGAAAGGATAATAGCCTTTGAAGGAGATTCTAACTCCACAAACCCCGATGTTTAAATGGGTGATGTGGTTAAAGACCAATATATCATGGAGGGGCTTGAGAGCTTAAAATGGAATATCAATGAACCCAAAGACGGTCAGGTCTCAGAGGCCCCCGTTATTACAGTCACGAGGAAGATTGCTGTGCCGGCCATAAAGCGGACAGCTAATGCTAACTTAGAAAAAGCCGACGAAGTCGCGTCCACCACAATACCTCAGAATACCATTCCGGGGGCAAGTGGAAACAATCAATCTATTTGCAGCAATAGTAGCTCCAAGAACACTGCGACTTGTCCTCCCGAGCTTCGAGCCATACTTGAAGCCGAAGAACTGCGGGCGACCTAGACCGCATTTAACCTTACAACATGCACTGCTGCCATCAATGTTATGGAGAATGCACTCGCACCTCTATCCAAAGGGTCGAGTATTCAATTTATAGACTCTATGAAAGCCTACCTCAGAGCTGCAGTAGCTCAATTCATGTTGTCGGGACCAGGAACAGTCCTTTCCAATCTCCCCCCATCTCAAGGGCGAGGTTAGGACAGTGTTCCACAGGGTGCGTATGTGGTCTAACGAAGATCTAGGTGGTAGATGAAGGTGATGAGTGGGTCGAAGGGATGACTGGTCTTCTCCAGGAAGAGATAAATAGGTAGATAGTAGCGATAGAGGCTACACGTGGGTCTTGCTGATGAAGAGCTGGAAAGAGATAAATGGTGTTCCCGAAGAAGAGATGGGTAAACAAATGTATTGTTAAGGTAATTGAAGAAGACGTTGCGTGAAGAATAATGCTTCTTCACGCCGATTATTTACATACAAAACATTACCAAATAGCACACAGCACATAGCACAAAGCCTCTATGCTAAACAATCTGCTACACATCACCTGATGAAACTAGTTTATTCTTATCAGTCTTCCTTGCTGGTTTTAGAAGTGTATTGAACTACAATTTGTGTTTTAACTTAGCTGTCCGCATGGCGTTTCATATTACGCTATGCCACAATGATCCATGAAACCCCACAACTAAACTGCCAGAATCATGGCGGAAATATAGTAGAAAAAACGATGCAAAAGCAGCCAGAGCGGCTACAAAAAGAGAACCAGGCGAGGTTAACCTTGGTCAAGCCTACCTGGGCAAAATTTACCCGAACTGGCCTCAGATTTTGTGGCCCTTCGTATTGCAATAATTCCCGTTGCAATCCACACACTCCGAGGCAAAGTAGTTGTCATCGACGACATTGTAGCAGATGAAATCGTCCGAGTCACTAAAAAGGTTCCGGTCAGGGCTCGGTCTCATGAAAAGGGAGAGTCTGAGCCCCCTACCAGACTTGGGTAGCTCATTTCGAAAGAGCGTCCGTCCCTAGACCAGGCTTCCGACTGTTCGACAACTCGTTAATTGCTGATCGCCATCAGCCACGCCAAACTGCGAGCCAATGCAAGCGATGTTTCTTATATCTCGGGACTCAGAGTTGCTCGCGCGCCCCAGTGTGATGGAACTCCACCTGAGCAATGCATTCCAACTCGGAATGCTAAACACATACCAAGTGCTGCAATTGCGGTGGCCCATACAGATCAGACAGCCAAGATTACCTGGCTCGCCCTAACAAGTCCGGCATAGCCTCTAAGGAAACCCTCGAAAGAATCAGGAACACTAGCCAACGCAAATATGCCGCGGTTATCCGAGCAAAAACTGCCATTCGACGAGCAGAGGCCGAAATCAAAGCCGCCGCTAAGTTAGCCAAAACAGCTCCACCGAACTACAGCTCCAGCAACAGCTATGGGGCTCTAATGACGGATGAGACGCCAAATGTGACTAAAGTCACAGAGGCAACCATTCCAAAAAATCACTCAAAAAGGGCACCACACTGGCCCCTTTCCGCCACCTCTCTACTCTATGTTTCATGCCAATAAAATTAAGTAGAGGAGGTCCGGTGTAGAACATTGCATTCGCTTGATCATTCGAGCTGAGTGTCGACGTTGTTCTAATTCAAGAGTCTCGGTGGAACCAAAATATGATGGCGCATCCAGGATATGTTTGTCATCTACCTTATGGTGGCAAAAAGGTCATGCCAAGGGCTGTTACCTACACCCGGAAGGATGATAGGACGATATCAGCAAGGCAACTCTTCCCCTGCACTAAGCTGACGGGCGACTATTGCTGGATGCTTGTTAATGGAGTCACTTTCCTCAACGTGTACAAGGCATCTAGAGAAACGTCAGCCATACAACCACTTGTCAACTGGACCCCGCCGCCGAACTCAGTCGCTGCGGGTGATTTCAATTCTGTATACTGCGCCTGGAAACCCGGAGTCACTCGCACCTACAGGCAAGGTCAAATGATTGAAATATGGGCTGAAGATCACAATCTAACTAGCCTTATTGTTGGAGAACCCACGCATCAAGCTGGAAATACCTTAGACCTTTTCTGGACCAACATCAACGACAGCCGTGGATGGGTAGACCATGATGAATTTGTCACCAGCGACCACCTTCCTATCCGAGGAATAATCCCGATCCATTCCTCAGTATTGAGACCCAACTTGGGCAAGATTACCTAACTTTGCGCGAGCTGTTACTAAATTAGTCCGTCTACCACCAGTTCTAGATACAATGGAAAAGGTCGAAGACTATGCCCAGGAACTTTGCTCCAATCTCAAGACTGCCATCAATGCAACAGGAACTCGACCCAGAGCAAACGGCGGTAAATCAGCCCTGTGGTTGACCCCGGCGTGTAAGGAAGCACGGGCTGAATATAGAGTGGCCGAATCACCCCTCCAACATACTGTGTACGCCAAAAAGCGCCGATCAGTAATTAGAGCTGCCAAAAAAGAACATCGAGCACAGCAGGTGGAAAAACGAACACACTGAGCGATGTTTGTAAGCTGATGAGAATGGCTTGTCCTAGACAGACAAACATCCCCCCACCCCTCAATCATAACTGAGTTCTCATCTCTGATCTGCTACAGCGAGCCATGGTTCTTCAAAACTCTCTCCTGGCAAGACACTAAATATCAGACGACCTACAGCCTTGTACTGCCACGAGCAACAACTGGATACCATGGAAGGATGATATCTCCGAGGAAGAATTCCGAGCTTGTACCATTGGCTGTGGAAACACGGCTCCGGGAGCAGATGGAGTCTCCGTACAGCTGCTAGTGGCCTGCTGGAAGACAATTGGACCATGCATAGTCAAACTCTTCAGAGCTTGCATACAGCTTGGTACGCACCCGACTTATTTCAAAATTGGCCGAAGAAGTACTTGCACAGAAGCCCAAAAGGGGCCAAACAACAGTCAAAGGTTGGAGACCAATTTCCCTCCTCTCTTGCCTTGGTAAAGGGCTTGAAAGACCTCTGGCAAAACGGATGGTGCACTTAGCAGTGACCTGTGATGTAGTTGGTCAGCAATAATTCGGCAAACTCTCCAGACCCTCAGCAACAGACCTAGTCTCCTGTGGAGTGCATGATGTCGAGGAGGCGCGCATACAAAGATGGGTGACTACTTTCGTCGCTTTAGACGTACAAGGTGTTTTTGATGCAGTTCTTCATAACCGCCTAGTGAGAAGAATATAAGAACTGTTGTAAAAATCTGAGTTCATAACTGCACACACCATTATGGGATAACCGTGCACCAGCTAAGTTAACCCCTTAGAGTATGATCACTATTGCCTCCTGATTGCTACACACTGACATCAACGTGTTCACTACAATGAGGACATCATTGTAGTGACTCTAGCTATCATAGACAATAACATGTAAAAGAATAAGGTTAGGAAATTCTGTATATAGATA